GTCCTCGCGGCCCTCCGGTCCTGCGTCCGTGATGTCCACCGCTGGCGGCGGGAGCGGGTCCGCCCAGTCCGGGTGATTCAAGTCCTCCCTGCGTTCCCTGCCTGGCCCGAGGTTCAGGTTGGGGACCTTCTGCGCTACCTGGCCCCAGATCTCCACAACCACGTTGCGTAGACATCTGCCGTGCTTTCCGTGAGCCAGTTGCCAAGGTACATGCGGCGCTCCCGGGGGATCCCCATCTGGAAGGCGCAGTCCGGGATGAACACCCGGAACGAGTGCCACGACAGCGGCTTCACCAACGCCGGGGTGACACCCCGACGGAGAATAGCATCCTTGAGCCATCTCAGAGCCCTTTCCGGTGTGGAAGGCCGCGGGATCAGCCCTGCAAAGTCTTTGCTCACCGTCGGGAGCAAGTAATCCATGTCCTGGAATGCCCCCTCGGATACCAACCGCCTTACCGAGGCCACCCAGGTAGTCCACCAAGGGATTCCCGTGAAGCTGTACTTCGGAGCAATCAAGGGGACCGGGTTGCGGTTGATTCGTGCTGCAGAGACCGTCTTGGTCTGCCAGGCCTTCAGCTCCACAAGCTCCACAGTGTTGCTGGTGTGGATAAGGTCCTTGGGGTGAACGTGCTGGAGGTCACTGAAGCGAGCGCTGCAACCAACCTGGAACCGGGCGAAACCCAGGATGAAAGCGTCCAGCACCTCGTGTCTGCTCTTTCCCGGGGCCTCCTGCGTGCCGGGGCCGGTGGCACCCAGGCGATCGTAGCCGGCCCCCTCCTCCAGAGCCCAAATGACCTCTTTGCTGGGGACCACCGCCTTCCGCTGTGGCCTGGTGACCGTGTCCGTGAGCGCCTCTTCCAATGAGCTCTTCTTGGACTTGAGGCGATGGAGCTCATCTATCTTCAGCAATCCGAACGTCTTTGAGAACCACTTGAGGGTGTTCCACACCTGCCGCAACTTGCACGGGGTGACCTCCTCATCGGCGAGCTGGTTGAGGAGAGAGCGGACATGTCGTTCCTGCCATGGAATGACGGTGAAGGTTGTCTTGCGGAGACTCTCGTAGACCAGGCAGTGTTGCCTGAGCGTCCGGAACCTGCTGTCCCCCAAGAGGTCCAATGCCTCCTTGCGGAAGTCCTCCCCCAGGATGTCCTGCATGTATGCAATGTGCTCCGCAAAGGGAGGTCCTGGGAGTAGCCCAGCCGGTCGTACAGGGCACCCGCCGCCTCCTGCGGGACCTGCTCCACCCAGTCATGGACCACGTTGCAACGCCAGTTGACCTTGATCTCCACCATGGAGGACTTACTCAGGCCCGACACCAGCTTGGTGTACACCGAGCCGAAAGCCCTCAACGATGACAGCGGAAGGGTGATACGCTCGTCGCAGACCGCCCTGAAACGCAGCGCCTCCTTGCTGTCGTGGACGGGGGCCACTGGGATCTCCATCACCGGCAACGGGCAGTTAACGATGAAATTCTTGGCCGCCAGAAACGTCCCCATCTCCTTGAAGATGTAGCTCCATTCCGCCTTGGTGCGCGGCTTGGGGATTCCCAGGCTCTCCAGGAAGGGGACCGCCTCCTTCCTCATCTGGAGGATGTTGCCCATCCACTTGTCCGAGGCCGAGCCCTCCGCATTGCGGCCCCGGCGCTGCGTCTTCACGACCAGCGGGAAGGTGGTCCAGGCCGAGTAGATGTATTTGAAGGTGAACCGGTGGGCGTACACCCCCGTCAAGCTCGGCAGGTCCCACGTCCTCGTCTGCCTTGTCCAAAACCTCCATCGCCCTTCGCCCAGAAGATCCCCACCACCTGCTCCGGCGCCGGGCGCTCGCCCCGGTTCACCTGCGCTCGGATCTCCAAGGCCGAGTAGATGACAGGATCGATGTGGTCCTGCTCGCACGTGAGTGGGTGGGTCCTGCACTCCAGGGCCAAAAGCTCCTCCGGAGTGAGCTTGAATTGCTCGCCCTTGGGGATCTCACCGCTTGAGTGCTTCTTCCAGATCCCCCCAAACATCCGTAGCTCACCTTGGTGCCTCTTCATCGCCCAGAGGAGCAGGGACAGCTTGCCCTCCTCCGAGTCCAGGTCCTGCTGTGGCATTGACTGGTCCCCCCCAGGCCAGTGGCACCCTTGAAGGCCGGTGTCGCCAGATCGGGCATCTCCTCCAGCAGCGCCTCCTGGTTCCATGGGTTCTGCGCCTCTCTGAGCCTCCTGATGTAGGGGACATACTTCTCCTTGATGTCTCCCACGTTGGGGATGTCCTCGGGGTCATCCAGCTCCAGGGGGCAGAACAGCCCCCTCTCCAGTGCCTGCCTGAGATCATCTGGCCACGCCGACACTTCAAAGGGCTTGAGGGTGTGGTTAAGCATCCATGCCTGGTTGGTGTCCTGGGTGCGCTTGTTCGCCTCCTGAGCCTCCTGGATGGAGCCCATCGCCTCAGCCAGTGCCTGGCTGGCGTCGACGCCCTTCCCCTCCAGGTACTACTGGTCTCGCAGCTTGGCCTCACTCCAGGTTGACCTTCCTGAGGGCCCGGGCTCCCTCATTGGCCACCTCCTCTGACGGCAGGGCCTGCATGCCCTCCTGGAGAGGCGCCAGGATAGCCATCTCATTGTCCAGCATCTCATCCGTGACCAACTCCTTGTGCCGCCGCCTGGCCGAGGACTCCTCCGGGGTCGGTTCCCGGTGCTCCCTCAAGGCCTTATGCAGCTCCTCCTTCTTCCGGATCGCCTGGTCCACCTGGGGGTGGTAGAGCTGGAAGCTCTGAGCCTCCGCCTCCTTCAGGGACCGCTGCACTTTGACCTTGACCTCCTGGCGCTCCCGGACCTTCAACGCCTCGTCGTCCGCCTCCATGGACAGGATCTCCTGCCGGATGTCCACCCGCCTGTTAAGCGGGACCACGTCTGCCATGGTAATCTCCTCTGCCGTGTCCGTTTTCGGAGGAGCTCTTCCCAGGACCGTGCCGTCCACCAGGTTGCGGTCTGCCTGTGCCCGGGTACCACCGGGGCCAGCGGCACCCAGGCTTCCCCCTTCCCGCTGCTGGATCCAGGTCGGCTTGCCCTCCACGATGAGCAGGTTGTAAGTGACGCCGTCCGCCTCGTAGGTAGCCGAGGGTGCCTGAAAGGGGACAAACTCCTTGCCCGGGCAGACCCAGCATTGCTTGGCTGCCTCCGGCCACCCCGTGCCGCATGCCTTGCACATGAATTTGTAGTCTGAGTGGCCGGCATCGAGTCTGTGCATCCGCTGGGTGCCAATGCACGCCTTGTTCCTCTGGAACTGTGAGGCCCAGACCTCCTCCTGCCGGATCTGGATCTTCATCGGAACATAGGCCTCCAGGATGCGAATCACCAAGTCCTCCGTGAGATTCTTCCCGACAAACTTGTGGAACAGGGAGACCGCCTCCTCCACCGTGACGTCCCTCAGCAACGTGGCCGCCGATGCCGGAAGGACCGGGAAGAGGTCTGGGAGGTCCACTAACTTGAAGTAGCCGGGACGGCCCTCCACCGGCACAAGGGAGACCGGTTTGTTCGCCTGAGCCGTGGTCTTCTGGGAAGCCGCCACGAAACCCTTCAGCCTCTTCGTTGGTGGAGTAGCCCGCTCCGTGGCGTCCGCATCTTCCATGTCCTTGTCCTCCTCCTCGGCGGGGCCAGGGGCACCCAAGCCGGAAGTCGGTGTGGAGAAAGCCACACGGAGACGCTCCAGTGCACTGGAGAGGTCGTTCATCACGTCGGTAGCCGAAGCCGACGGGGGGGCCTCGGGCTCGTCCAACACCAAGCCGGCCGCCACTGCCGCCTCGCGTGTGCGGATTTCCTGGGCCTCCTGGCTGGCCATTTCCACCTCCTCCGCGGTGAGCGTCTGGTCCTCAATCAGCTCGAAGGAAGTTGCCGAGGTTGCCGAGGAAGCCATTGCTGGTTCGGGTTAGTTCGGAAGAGTTCAAACACAAATTTTTCACACAAGTTGGGTTCAAAGAACCCAAGGGCAAAGCTTGAGCCAAAATGGCATGCGCCATTATGGTCAAGCATTGCCAACACAGTTCATGTTTCCACATGCGTTTCAACATTAACAAATTTTGCCTACCCTTCAATATTCACTTCCCTCTATGAATCAATTCATCCCTATTGCGAAATATCATGTTTCAGGCAAAGACTCTCATTTGTTTATAAACTGCCCCAATACTAAACTTCTGAACTTTCAGCAATTCCTTTCTTTCAAAAATCGCACTGCGAATGATAAAACTTCAGCTTCGCCCTTTAAACTTGACTTGACTCCAACAATTGTCCTTTGAGTCACTTCGGCTTGGCGGGGGGTTTTCATCCCATTTGAGGACCGTGAGGAACGCAGCTTGGGAAGAAGCCCCTCGGGATCCTCGGACCCGATTCATACTGTGGATGGGTGCGAAATCCATTTCGCTTCTCGCACCACGAAAGGAAACCATGGTGGAAACCATTGTGCGTGGGAATCATTTACAGGGGAAAGAATCATTCCTAGGTTACTGAACGGTGGTGCGAAGTGGATTTTGCAACCATCCACAGTACAAGTACTATTCAGGTGGGAAAGGGGGGGGCTGCCGGGCGCTTTTAAGCAGGGGGGAAGCGAAGATCACATCTGTGGCTCGAATTTTCTTCAGGTGGTTCTCAGTGAGTTTCCCTTCAAAGCCTACCAGCCGAGTGGTGCCAGCTCCAAAGACGAGCAAACACCATCTTCTTCAGGTTGGCCTTCATTGGTGGCTTGGATTGGTGGTTTATTCGGGCAACCCCTCCATTTCCACCAAACCACCACTCCACCAACGTCCAGTTGGAAGGAAGCTCATTGGAGACGCCTTCAGAACCCCGCGCCAGAAACAACCTGGACCTGCAAAGGACCGATTCCTTTGTCTGCCTTTGTACCCCTTTTTTGGGGTCAAAGGCAGGAAAAAATAAGGACCCTTTCTTCTGCCTTTGTACCCCTTTTTTTTGGGTCCTTTGGCAGAAAAAAATCGGGGTCCTTTGGGGGTCCAGGAAACTCTCCCAAGGCACCTCCAGGCATTGGCCCGCGCTTTCGGCGCAGCGCACCAGCTGCGCCTTGAGCAACTCCGCGGACCCGCCCTGGCGCGGCCCGACCGGCCCGACTGCCCCCGGGAGTGGCGGTTTTTTGGCGAGGTGGGTGGTCAAACTTCATCCACCCAAGAACCGCTGGCTTGAGTCTTTGGCTCCATTGACCAGGGTGTTCAAAAATGGGTATCTATTTTTGACCCACAGCCATGTGATTTGTGGCTGCCAGCCGTGCTAAAACACTGCCAAAACCATGGTTGTCTCCCTGTGCGCGCGCTGGCGTGCAAGGCCAAATGCACATGTTCATGAAAAACTCCGCCCCTCGAGAAGGGGACAACCCTAAGACTGGCCCCATTCTTGGCACGCGAGCTCCTCCGAGCGGCCGTTCAAGAAAAACACTGGCCCCATTCTGCTACCATCAAAGTCACCCTCCAAGTGGTAGGTGAAAAAGGTCAAAGGGGATGTGATTTTGACAACCCACAGGAACAGTCAACAATAACGATCTCTGCAACTTATACCTACCTAGAGTCTCCGTGACCCTATAAGAATGACCCCTTTAATTTTGGGTAATGACCCCAGTTTTTAAGGTCATGGAGACTCCAGGTGCTGTTTTATGGTTACCTTACCTGCAATATGTCGGGCCTCCGCCGCATATGCTTGGTGATTCTTCCACGTTTCTGCGTCGTTCTTCCGGTAAAAGAACCCTTTTGTGGGTGTTCTTCAAGGAACCCAAATCGGTTGAGCACGCCCCTCGCCTCTGCCAAGACCTCCTCGATGCAGCGCTGCATGGCGAGGTTTCGGATGTCGCGCTCCACGCGCGCGAGGTCGGAAAACTTGCGTGGGGGGAAACACGCGGATCCCTTCAAGGTACTCCCGCCTTCACAAACTTTCCATGTCAAAGACCCTAGAAATGGTGGGGGGATTGGGTAGAGGGAGTATTTGAGGTTGAAAGTGCATCACGTTCCCTTGGCCAGGCCTACGCCTAGAAAGGCAATAAGCCTGAAGGTAGTCTGAACCTGGTAATGCAGCATTCAACGGCGAATGCATAAATACATCATACATGGAGAGGGAGAGAGTAGAGAAGTTGTGGTATCAAGAGCCGTATTGGCACATTCGTTGCGTATACGTTGAGAGCCGCTGGGAAACATGCTACATGTACTCTGACTCCACGACTCTTTTCAAGCAACTCTCGAGAGGCTTTGCCTCGGTTTGCCTTGAGGTGCGAGCGGTACACGAACGGAGAAAAGGCCTGATAAATTGAAATCTTTGATTTTATCTGCGGCCACTGCCATTCATGGGCCCTTTGTTCTCGGGTTAAAAACGGAACCTAAATCATGAACGATAAAGATGCAGTGGATTCGCTTTGGAAAGCAAGAGGAACTAAAAGGTTGTCAATAGGTGTTCAAACATGTTTTTCAGCTTCCTTCCAATTGTGTTTTGTTTGTAGTGGTGGGTTGAAGTTTCGGGATTGTTTCCCATTCACCCCAATTCAAATCCCCAAACCAACAATCCAAACCCACCAACTGAGGTTTACTTGATTGCACATCCTTCCAGGTAGTGTGCTTGCTGTTATCTGCGCGCGTTGTTGAACCACCACAGTCAGTATCGCCCCACATCACCACAAAGCCGTTGTCCAGGATGGCAGCAAAGGCATTTTCTGTTGCTTGGATCTGCTGGACAAAGATCAACACATGGGTTTTGTTCATTTTTTGCTTGCGCCCGTTTTGGTGGGCACACCCACAGAAAACCCATAGGACTGACCGCCGTTTTCCGGGGGTCCTACAAGGCACACCCAAGGCACACCCAAGAAAACCCATATATGAACCATGTGCAACCCATGGCATGGAACCGTCTAACCGATTCCAAGGCCAGGACGTGGGAGCGGCACTCACCACCCGCCACCTGCCCAGAGAACGGACCCAAAAGGAGCACAAAGATCTGGGAGTTGAAGCGACCAAAAAATGGCTTCGTTTGAACCTGAAGAAACGCATGCATAAACCATTTGTCTGTGTATATATATATATATATAGATACACACATACATGTGTCTTTAAAAAATATGGGTGGAATAACGAATCAAAAGCAAATTCACAACTAGTGTTGGGCTCCTTTAATTAAAAAAAATGGGTTGCATCCCCAAGGCTCATCACCCCTCCAAGAACCCTGGGAAACAACCCATTCTAGAGAGCCCAAAATCATCGGAAGTTTTAAGGAATAACCAGTTTTTATGGGTAGTTTGAAGGTTCCTGCTTTTTGTTGCTTTCTTGGCAGGACATATCGAACTTTTGATTTTAATTGGTGCGAGCCCAGTGCAAGTCCAGAAGCTTGGGAAGTGACCCCCACCCGACAACACCGCACATGTTGCTAAGTTGCGCGGCAATTCTTTGCCAAGCGCTTAAAACGGCAAGGGCATCAAACAACCAAAACTACCCATCCCTTTTGGCTTCCCTTTGGGGTAAACGGAAAATTCCGGGCCCGCCCAGATTTGGGGTGGCCTAAAAGGCGACACCTTTGGGCAGCCATAAAGCTGACTAAATGTGGCTCCTTCCTTGGTACCCATGGCGTGGTTTCAAAAGGGACACCAAAAGGAAACCGAAGCTACACGACGCCCCCCCCCGCGTATGGTGGACACTGAAGGGGTCTATTTTGCAACCTCCTTTTTCTATAGGGTCTTGGGCTTTTTAGGGGTTCATGGTTGCAAAATAGACTCTAGGTGTCCATGGCACGGGGGGTCCCGTGCCATGGACACGAGTCGATTTTGCGTAATAACCATACCCGAACAACAAAACAGTTTACCCTAAAAGAAGGAGGTGGCAAAATAGACCTTGGGGGGTCCCCTAAAAAAACCCAAGACCCCTAAAAGAAGGAGGTTTTTAAGAAAAAAAACCTGGACAATTCTCCCCAGACACACTTGTTGTGTAGGGGGATGCTCGATTTGATGGACACCAAGAATGCCCGTGCTGGGCCAACACTCCCCCCGGAAAAAGAACACTAATATATACATTACATTATTCTGATATATAAATATACATGTATGTGCATACAGGTACATACACACGCATACAACCTGTCAACACCAACCTCCCCGAACAAGCAGCACCACAACCCCGGCGCGACGCCGCTGAGTCACGCACGCTCGGCTCGCTTCCAGGGATGCCAAGAGGAATCTCGACCTCCGGGCGCTTCCAAGGGACCGACCCTTGGACGTTCGGCCAATAGGAAGTGCTTAGCCACTGCGGTAGATGTACCTGGACCCCCAAAGGACCCCGATTTTTTCTGCCTTTGACCCCCAAAACAGGGGAACAACAATGGGGTCCTTTGGGGGTCCAGGTAACCCCCCCAATAAAGAGGTGAATCCCACTTGCGGGGACTTAGAAGTACAACCTACTTGGCCGAACTCCCGAGTGGGGAACCCGACATAAGCTCTCCACTACCCCGCCCTTTCAAGTACCCTCCCTTGAGCCCACGCATTCGACCCTTCTCCAGACGCGGCTTGCGACTGACATGGAACCCCGTCCTTAGCACAGGATCCCTCCAGACATGGATGGGAGTTGGGTCCTAGTAAAATCTGGCAAGAAACCCGAAGGGCTATAGGCGCGAAACAGTAGTGGAGGGCCACGCCCCGCAAATAAATTGCTTCATACATACCCCCCACCCTACATTTTTTTTCATCTTCCATCTTCTACCCTTATTCGTTTTCATCATTTTTCTACATTCCTTTCTGTCCATCTCATCCGTTTTTTTATCATCATTTTTCCAAAATTTTCGCCATCCTTTTCTCCTTTCTCCTCGCCTCATTCATTTCACCAACTACCCTCCAAAATGTCATTTCCTCAATCTCCTCGCCTCATCCATTTCAAAAAAATAAATTTTGCAAAATATATTGCAAAAATTATTTGTCGTCAAAAAAATATTCGAACTGTCTAAAAACGATTTGTCCATTTCCCGGACAAAAAATAGAACAGCAACAACATCACTCTCCTCCTTCGTTTCATCACTTTTATCATATATATTTTTGGGGCGTGGTGTCCCTTGTAGGATTTTATCTTCAATATATAAAACGCTATACTGACATTATAATTATAACATATAAGGGTATAAATGTTATTATTATAGTATGATTAATAATTATGGGTTACATTTATAGTCAGGAAAAATGTCTTCAAATATGTAATCTACATATTTATCAATATCGCCAATGTCTATATATTTGATATTGTCTTTTCCTATTATTGAATAAATATATTCCCAGAAAAACAAATTAACTAGTAGCCATACTTGATATTTAGTGTTGTAGTAAGACCATACATGATATTTAGTTATTCTAAATTCATTCAAGACCTCGTTTATTTTATCTTTACTTAATAAATGCCAATCAATCGCATCAAACATGCCTCGAAATTTTTTAACAAATGCTTTATATGGTTTAATTGCGCTTGTCCCTCCAAACCTTTTAATCAAATCTTTATTATTGAAGAACTCATCAATTTCTTTTTCAAATGACTTTCTTGCAATTGTATGGTAAAAACATACAGGACATCGTTTTTGATATCTCATAAAGAATGTCAATTGTAATTGAAACTTTGTATATCCCTTATCCTTATGTTCTTCAACAAAAAACTTTTCAAGGTCTCTTGTTATACAGCATTGACTACAATATACATCATATTCACTTATTTTATTACATAGATTGGCGGGTAATAACTTATACAATGTTATATTAACATCATTCCTTTTAGTTGTACAACATTCGCACTTTGAATAATTAAATAACATTTCCACTGTAATATATATAGTGTTTATTTCTTTAAATACTTTTTTACAAGAAATACAATTACATATTGAAATATAATTATAACATATAATATTTTACATGTTATTATTATATTATGATTATAATTTAAGTTCAGGATAATAATTTAATTGATACATCTTACCTCTTTCATACATCATTTTAAAAATAATATTAATATCTCTCACTGTATTTTTAACATTAAATTTTTCACTTTCAATATATGATTTTATGACTTTTTTTACATCAACGCCGGGTTTACTATAATAAATCAACATCCATAATATGTCATTAATCATTTCACACTTTTTCTTACTGATTTTAAGAAACTGTTTAACATAATCGTAAGGTGGTCTTTCATACACAGTTAAAAATATCAATATTTCATCTTCAACATTTCTTTCATCTATATTTTTAAACGCCAAACAATTTTCTATTATATTTTGATATCGTCTCCATCTTCTACAAGTTCTACATATATTTTCTTCGTCCAAAGAATAATCAATAATATTATTAACTATTCCATTAGGTAAATTCAATTTATATAATTCCATATTTTCCTTTTTGAAGTGGCAACAGTCGTAGCATTTCTTATTGATATAATTATTGATTTCGGTTTCCACCATTGCTATTATAATATATATAGTGTTTATTTATAAATATTTTTTTACAAGAAATAAAATTAAAATATTGAAATATAATTATAACATATAATATTTTACATGTTATTATTATAGTATGATTATAATTTAAGTTCAGGATAATAAGTTAATTGATGATTATTAAATTGTGTAAATATCTTACGTTTGTCATGCATCAGTTCAAAAATAATATTAATAGTTTTCACGGTATTTTTCACATTAAACTTATTGCTTTCAATATATGATTTAATGTCTTCTTTTAAATCAGACCCCTCTCTTCTACGATGTAACAACATCCATAAAATGTGGTCAATCAGTTCATACCTTTTCTTACTGATTTTGAGAAATGCTCTAACATAACTATAAGGTGGTCTTTGATACACAGTTAGAAATATTATAATGTTGTCTTCAACAT